TTGAAAATGGCTTGCCATATCTTACGTGCACCTTTACGATCCCTGAGACTAAAATCATCGTTACTCATATTTGTATTACTATGTGTTTCAAAATATATATTCTTCATTCTAACATCAAGGGATCAAGAAACGTTAACATTTTTGTTCGAATTTTTACTAATTTTATAAGACCCAAGACGTTAATCAAATAGCATATTTCCGATAAATTAGGTTATCATTATGTAAAAATAAATTATAAATTCAATGTAATTTTCAGTGGTTAATTAATGTAATTACATAAATGCGCTCATTAATTTTTAACAAAATTGTGTGAATTATTTTAAAAATTCTAAAATTCCAAACATATTAGGTTTTTACTATTTGAAAATGTTATCTAAAGAATTCATTACTCTCATCGCCAGGGGTCAAAAAAGAAATAATTGCCTATATTTTACAAAACATAAAACAATTATAACTACAGTATGTAAAATATATATCTTTTTGAATGTTATAGAGGTATTAGAACATTTATATATTCAAAGGGCAAGTCTTATCGTGTATTAGAGACATATGGAATCAAACGCCTTTCATTTCTCTTTCGACGTTACTGCTGCATATCATCACATTTTCTGATGGTTATATCTTCCTAGACATTACAGCTGGCTACCATTACATTTCTGGGGAAAAATCAAAACATTTTAGTCAAAGCTTGATATATTCGACCAGGTCTTGATAGTTGTTGTTTAAACAAATGAGCAATATTCATCTCGGGGCAAAATAAGTTTAGCCACAGTCAGGCGAGGATGAGCAATAACCCCTCTTTTATTGATAGTTAGCCCCTGACGATGACAGCCCAAGTCTCAGTAAAGTCTCCAAGTCTTAGTAATTCCATACCATGGATTATTTGGTCATAGGAAAATTAATTGCATCTGCCAAAAGGCCTCGGCTGTTATTTTTCCTGGTAACCAATACTCATAATTTATCCCTAACTTAACAAACACATGTATAATGCATTTTAACCGACGTCTGCTGAATATGTTTGAACAAATACAGACATAACTTCCTAATATAAAAGATACATTATTAATGTAAAAAACCAAGGCAATAAATAAAACGAGGATAATCAATCTAATCAATAAAAATAGTTTGGGTAATCGACATATTAACAAATGCTGGATAATCAAACACGTGAAAGGCATAAAAAAATTGAAAAGTAAAGTTCGTTGATTAATTTCAAAATAAACATTCGATGACCGTAACAACTGATTGAACTTTAGATATATAGAATATATATAATATATATAAATATTCGTCGATTATTGTCTGACATAGAAATACTTTTCAAGAAAATAGTCTTACCTTTCTATTAGGATGGGTTCATGTGCCAAAAATAGCTGATCCGTGAATATACATGTATATCCATTTGAAAATTGGTAGCAAGAATTTTGTTTTGGAGGCCATGTTTTTTTGACAGTCATGACAGGAAATGTCATGATTCTCAAAATGAGCATTAATTCTGAATTTGGCTTAGAATATTTACTCAGATATGTATTCTAATATTATTAGCATGATTATTGACTACTATTTAATAATTGTGGTGTAGTGGAAAAACTTTTTTCTAAAACTAAGAATGAATAGAAAAAGATACAACGAGTAAATCAAGCTGAGGAAATGGCAGAGTGGTTAGAGCAGCAGGCTGTATCATTATTTTGCAGGTTCAAATCCCGGCCATGGCAACTAATTTTCTTTTTTCTGAGCCACAATATATTTTCTTTATCTCTTTTTATATAAAACAGTGTCATATTTACTACTTTTTGGGGTTTTAAAATATAGGTAAAATGTCTGTGTGTGGCTTTTTAATTGTTTGATGATAAGACGAAAACTTGCGATTCAAATATTGAAGTGAGAAATACCCACTCCAGGAGTGACGCTGGCTTCATTGGAGAATATCGATGTTGCATTCCGGCTGTCAATCCTCCTTGACGTGAACGTGTAGAATTATTGTCCTATTTGGAAGATTTCTCCCATTTGTACTGTTTACTAAGCCGACTGATTATAGGTATACGGAAATAATTGTAATTAGGTCCCTGGAAAAGTAAATCGTGAGCGGGATAGTAATCCCAGGGGGTCGAAATATTACACGCTCGAGTACAGGTTCTCTTAAAACATAAAACTTAACCTTCCAATAATATTGATGGTTTCCTCGTCTTCCAAACTATTTGTTCGCGAACGTGTAGATTTTCTTCAACATGTGATACTAATTACTGCCTCACGTTTGTGGGAAAATCTCGTGGACATTCTGCCTAGATGAAATGAGAAAGGAAAAATCAAGCCTTCGAGGTTGCGATATTTTGTTACTGAAACGTAACGGTAACTAGCTTAAAACGTGCAGTACCAGTTTTACTAAGATATACATGTACTAAAATGCATTATATCGGAAATATCAATTTTGTATCTGTTGTTAGTTTCCAAAGAATATTCAATATTTTATTTTAGCTTTTGAATGTAGTCCAAAATATGGAAATGAAACCCAAGGAACATAAGCACGCACGAGAAGTTTCCTTCAATCCACGGTGCGGTGCTCGTAAGGGCAAGAAGGAAAGATTTCCATTTGCGTTATGCCACTTGGGAGAAAAAGTAATAAACTTTTGTTAGTTCTAAACACATTGAAGAAGGATTCGAAACGAATTCGAAGGTTGCAAATTGAAGGAACTGTTTTTGTAACTTTTTCAAAGTTTTGTCTTTGATAATAGATAATAATTTAATATAAATTGTTAGTTTCACTATTGTATTTTAGAAAGTGTTAATTGTCGTTACCGATGGTAAAACGCATCCAGTGGATAAAAGAGGAGACAATGAATATATGGCTAAAGCCAACATAAGAGCCAACATAAAATCATATGTAGTTGCACTCCCCGATATGATAGCAGGAGGATTTATTGGACACGATGAATGGAACGCAATCGCAACTGGCAATATTGGTGATGAAGAAGGAGTAATAGATCCCAATGTATATGCACTTGACACTTTTGATCACTTCAGAAATATCATTAGCAGAGTCGTCAACAAAGCATGTATGACTATTATAACATAATAATGTCATCACATGAATTCTTATTTGACACACCCATTCTTGACTATCATCTGAATGTAACAAATGTTTTTGTCATTGATATGAAATGTATTTATCCTAGATCAAGAAAATACAATATTTAAATGAAGATGTTTTTACAAAAATTAACATAGCTGGTTAACATAACTTACTAATGTAGACTAATGTGCTCACAAGGTGAAAAAAAGACGTCACAAAATGAGAACAGTATTACAATCTGTAGAATTGTTCATAAACAGTTCTACAAATGTTCTATTGCTATGTTCTGAAACATTCATTCTCATGAGATCATTCTAGAATATAGAGATTGAATAACTGAAAGTTCATGAACATTTAAAAGACATACATTTCTGCTTGGTGAGTAAATTATCTAAAGTCTATGCTGAACTATTACTTGTGCAAGCATTGAAAGAGAAATCAAAGGAGCATGTAGGTTATCGCAAACAATTTCAAACGATTCTAACTTGAATTATGAATATTTTCTGATCATGAACATGTGTGTATCTTTCAGATCCATTCATTATCTTCAAGAAAAGTATATATAATGATAATTTAGTTATCAGACCTAAGTGATATTGAAGGGGCAATGGACCAATCAACATACTTTTTCAAAAATGTTGACTAAATTTTCACCAAAAATGCAACCTATTATTATATTGTTGAATGCATAATTAGAATGTGCTTTGAGACATGTTCGATTTCCTAAAGGGAAAATTTGATTGCTCCAGGGACTTTAAAGATATTCAATTTGGATGACCAAAATGAACTGAGACCAATGGATAGCATGAGATTTTTCAATGGAGAAATAACATGGGGAACACTTATCTTAATGCAATTAAGTTTTTCTTTCAAGAACTATTTGATACATCAAAATAAAGAATAGCAATGCATTAAACTTTGTAAAAAATGATTGCATTTTTGGTGAAAATGGGGTCAACATCTTTGAAAAAGTGTGTTGATTGATTAATTGCTAGTTAAATATCTCCGAGTTTGTTTGAATTTATTATTACTGTGGATAATTTTCTTTGAGATAATGAATTGATCTAAAAGATAAACTTGTCTTCATTGTCAGAAAATAGTCATAATCCAAGATATAACCTTCTGAAATTGTTTGCGATAACCCACATGCTCCTTTCATGAACGACAAATAGAACAAATTGTAACTGGACAAAAACACATGAACTGCTCATGAACTATTTTTAAAATTTACATGAAGAAAATATCAATTTATTGTTTAAATATTGAATATTCCCAATCTTAACATTACAATCAATGTCAAACCATCTTGATTGGTACATCTTCTTAAATGAGCAAAAAATGTGTATTATTGTTCATTTTTTCACATCATTTGCTTTTAAAAACCATTACAACCCTGCGATATAATAAGTTTCTACATAAGCAATAAATCAGATTGTCTTTGATAAATCTAAACACAAAATACCATTTGTAAAATAAATAAGCCAGCAAATATCACATTTAAATACTGACAAAATTGACAAAAATGATTTATAGGATCGGAGGTTAGGCTAAATAATACAAACTGACTATTAGTGCCCAGCAATGTAAGCAAAATTAATACTACATCTTTTTTGTATAATTTTATTTTATTTAGAAGAATACTCACTCATTTTATTTTTATTTTCAAAACGTTTTCAACATTTAATCATCACGGGATATTACCACAGTGTGTATACTCAAGAGCCTTGCGTTTAGAAGAGGAATTTACTCTAGAATATACAATACGTAATACTAATATATTCAAATACTTATACATCAAATACTAATTTCTTATTTTAATTATAAACAACTATGGCTTGGAAAAACATATACAAGTATTCCACGTTTACATATACTGTACATTCACAACCAATAAATTATGGACAAATAATACTTCTTAGCCTGATAAATGCAAGAGAACAAATTAAAGTAAACAAAAATTATAACAACAATAAAATAAACATTTAGAGCGGAATACGAGGTATTGCAACATGGCATTAACATGACATCAGGCCCGTAGCCAGGGGGGGGGGGGGGGGGGGGTTGCGGGATTCAGGCGACCCCCCACCCCCTGGCCAAAATTTCTTTCAAAATCATGCAGTTTTTCACCATTCTGACTATTTTTGAGAGATTTTTGGCTAAATTTGCCAAAGTGAAAAAAAATCTGGCTACGGGCCTGTAACAACTTGATTAACATTACTTTAAATGATTTCAAAGTGTAACAAGTTGTCACAGACAGAGTGCAACCTGCCAGTTTATTCTGAACACATGTGTAAAAGACAGAGACCATAATAATATGTCTCAAATTCTTGGTCTTCACATAATAACTTAAACTGCCAAGTTGATACCATTTCAAAAGAAATGACTTCATCATGATATATGGCATTTTATAATGTATTCAGAATATGGATATAATGAGAAAACTAATTTTCATGGTTCACTCTGTTTGAAGAGTTCTCAGTACACATTTTGGCTAAAATAGTTACATATTTAAAATATCACTAAAGTGTTATATACTATGCTATAGGCATTCTAAAATCTCGATGCTTGCATTCTCGTTATTATCTTCTACACCATGCCAACAACACTGAAAGTGTTAAATAAAATTGAGATTTTTACCCTTTTCAATCAACTCACCATATAACCCTCTCACAATGAAAAATGATTTTATGATCTCAATTATTTAAAACCCTAAGATCTACTAGTTTATAAAACAAACGTACAAGATGGTCCAAAAAATGGGACACTCGTATTTTAAAAATAAATATTGATTTTCTTGATGAAAAGAATGAGCTCATATCATGATGGTCTAAAAACAACATAATTGGATAATGCGATGTCAACGTCTGTGACTACCATGTTTTGGGAGAACTAACAGAATTGGTTAACCATGAACCCCTTACATCTACCCAGTCCCTTATTAAGGATAGACTTGTTGAGAGGTGGAATTCATTGTCTCAACAGAATATCAATGATGTTTTTGACCACTTTAGGCCTAGATTCACGCCCGGTGATCGTGAATATGGGACGGAGGGGGGGGGGAGCAGGCAATTTCTGCTAGGAAATTTAACAAATCTGGAAGATTTATTTTTTCAAGAAAAAGTTTACTATTGAATTGCTAAATGGATAGGCGCACGGTATGGTAGAATATGTTAGGTTTTCTGGGATTTTTTCTGAAACGATATGCATCTAAGGTATGAGATCTATTAAAAAAGGCGCAAGGCCATCAACAGGCACAAATCAACGTTTTTGCTATAAATCAAGCAACAATGGTCTGGACGACCTGTAATAAATACTTGTAAGTGATGTTATCATAACTAAATTAATGTCATTGCTGAATTTATAAAATAAGTTTCCATATGTGAAATAAAAAATAATCGAAAATAATGAATTTGGGACGGAGGGGGGAGGGGACGGAGCGATATGTATATAAGACATGATTAGACGGATGTTTCGCGACTTTAAGTCCTTTTACTCCAAATGTCCCCATTTTTCAGTCTCCAGGGGTATATCATCCAGTTTCTTACTAAGTTAATGAGATCATTTTTCAAATACAAGAATTCGTGTGAAGTTGTTTCACTTTATAGAATTATTACTCCCCCCTCCGTCCCCTCCCCCCCCCCCCCCTCAGTCCCATTTTAATTATTTTCGATTATTTTTTATTTTACGTATGGAAACTTATTTTATAAAGTCAGCAATGACATTAATTTAGTTATGATAACATTACTTACAAGTATTTATTACAGGTCGTGTAGTCCATTGTTGCTTGATCTATAGCAAAAACTTTTGCACGTTAGTTGCGTTGCGCCTTTTTTAATAGATCTTATATCTTAAAAGAGTATCGGTTGAAAAATAATCCTAGAATACCTAACATATTTTATCATACCGTGCGCTTATTCAATTTGCAATTCAATCGTAAACTCTGTCTTGAAAAAATAATTTTACCAGATTTGTTGAATTTTCTAGTGGAAATTGCCTGCTCCCCCCTCCGTCCCATTTTCACGATCACCGGGCGTGAGATTCGGGGCTATAATTGATCAAAATGGTGGACACATTGAACATCTGTTTGTGTAAATAAAGTTGACAAAAACATGACTTTTGCAAGTTTTGGAAAACCCGTTTTGAATCTAAAATGACGTCATTTATATGAACTTATGATATACTAAATTAAAGATAAGTAAATTCCCTATCCATTGGTATATAATATGACATGTTTTCATCAAGAAAATCAATATTTATTTTTGAAATACGAGTGTCCCATTTTTTGGACCACCCTCAAAACAAAGTTAAGCTATTGCGAATGGAAGATTTTCACATTTGCTAAAAAAATATTTTTTATTTTTTCGTACACTGTCTAAAAGTTTGAGACATTTCTGCTAGTCATTTAGTATTATGCATACTTGCAAAACAGTAAAATACATTCAAAAGTTATCATGGCAATTAAGGAGATAATACATGTAAACAGAATACATACAATAGTACATCATAGGATAGCAACATAATACAATACAAAAAACATCAAAAATAAAATTGGACCTCCACTGAATTACATACATCGTGATTATGTAAAATTTACAAAACATATATGAGTGCTCTAATACATAGATATAATGTACATGTAAAGAATATGACAAAAGCCAATTGCGATATAATAAGAAGCCAATTACAGGTATTTTTGAAATAGCCAATAATAATGTGATTAAAGCTATACAAATAAAAGCGCATTATGCATGTATATTGCATAAACATAACAAAATAAGATTAACTAAAAGCTGTAAAAGTTGAACTGATTGACATATACACATGAGATTCATAATACATGTACAACATTTTAATATCATTTTGATATAAAAAGTCCAGTGTTGAATCATTCTTAGAAGCCGATGTCAAACAACAAAATATCAATTTTCCAGAGCTTCGTTTCATTTCTTAAAAAAATATGAATAGAATAAACATTAATTAGATAATATCAAGAATGTCAACTTCAATGTTTTAGTCTGAGTTTGTATGTTTTCTAAATGTATAAACATTGATGTTTTGACCCGGTCCCTAAGTGCTTCTCTATTCTGTTGGGATTCTATGAAGGAACCAATATTTTAACTAAATTCTATGAAATATACAGTTGTACTGTCATATCTAATCCAATATCTGAGACAAAGATTAATTAAGTTCAAAAAAACATACATGATATACCAAAATTCAGCACCACCTATTATTCTGATTATAAAAATACTTGGACTCTCACAAAAAGACTTAGAGTCACATCAGACTGATTGAGATGCCATCCGTCTGCTCATGCTTATTTCACTCAATTTCTCTCTAAAATTTGAATAAAGTGTCTGATTTTCTTGCAATTTCATATAATTTAGAGTGTTACCTTCATGCCGGTTTACTTTATTCTAATTCCTCTCATTTCTCTCTAAAATTTGAATAAAGTGTCTGATTTTCTTACATTTCTATATAAGAGTATTTATTATGTGTCTATTCAGTTTATTCCTCTTTGATTCCTTTTTTCAGTATATTTTGCATTTTACGACACAATGATGTAATTCATCCTAAGCTTGTTTGTTAGAAAATGCTTTACTTAGAGATGGTGCTTACTAGGGATGTCCGAGGAGGGGGCTTAGGGGGTACCCCCATTGTAACCCTAGGGGGTGATATGCTACTTCCATTCTTTGATAAACTATTTGGTCGGAGTGGTGATCCTTCATGAGTTTTCGCTGCCGTCACAACTGTACCATGTGGCGCCATCTTTGATGTTCCATTTGCACCACTAGATGTCGCTAGTTTTGAAGTAGCTGGATTAGTCGGTGAAGGCACTATGACTGATTTTGACGTTGGAGTGATGGGAGAAGTCATAGTTGAGCCACCGAGAGAACTTCCTTCAGAATTTGAGACATGATTGTTCGTGTTTGGGTCGTTTGATTTATTTTTGATTAAATTTGGTGCATTTTTGTTCTGTAATGGGGGTGGACTGGTTGTCTGAGCGGCAAGCCTCTGGAATAAACAATCATTATTTATCAGTGTAATTTTGTCATTTTGCAATTTAATATAATATTAAATACATTGCATTCCAAAAAATCCAATTTAACAGATCCCTGTAATCCTGCAATTAAATATAATGTATAATGTATAATTCCCAAGTACAAGCCTTGATTGAATGTATCTATATCATGCAATGTGTCACAGGCCAGGAGACATGGGTGGTAGTTTGTTGCTTTTTTATTCCTTAATTCAATTATGAAATCAGTTATGAAATCGACTCTCCGATTTCATTTTGTTCTCTGCATTTTAAAAGGATTCAATTTTATCCATGTCACAATTAGACTTATAAAATCATAGGCCTTTCAACCAATCGTAATACAAGCACTGTGTATTGTATAATACTTATTGTATAATAATTGTTAAGTTGAAATACAAGAAAAGGGCTATTTCATTTAGTGAACTCAAATAAGAGAAAGTACAACAAACCAATTTAGTCAAATTCTCACCTTCAGAGCCTCTCTCCGCTGGAACTCCCATCTTGCCTTCTATGTGGCCACTCAGTAGGGAACGTCTGGTATAGCATGCAATCAGTAACTTCACAGCCAATATCACATGCTGTAAAACAGATACGTAGTGTCCCACATAATTAATTTGATAGATTTCTATTTCTCGCTTAATATAAACATGGTGTTTCTTATATCCATTATTATATTTTTCAGGTTTCATAAAATGTAGTCAAACTTTCATTGAGATGACCCATATTCAATCCCTCCCAGTGAATATCCTCCATATACCATATAGCCTACCTCTAAAATGACTATAAACACTAGCACTTCAGTGGTAGATAGCTGTGGCACCATACGGGGGACAAGGTCTGATATTCCAATGAGACAACAATTCACACCTATTGCTATTACTCCCATAATACCCAACAGGTCCTAAAAAATACAGAAAATATATGAAATATTTGTACATGTACGGTAAAACCTGTGTATTGCGGACATTGCTAGAGAGATGAAATGTCTAGAATAGAATATGATGAAATAAATTGTTTATCTATAAAAAAAAATAAAAATAGTACTGTGGGTACTGGGCTCACATGGTGTTGCTCAAAAGTGAAAATAAAAAAAAACGGATTTCATACAACTACTCTTTATAAAGACATGGCTTTTTACAATGCAGGACACCTGAACTTATTTGTAAAGCTAGGAAATGGGCCAAAAGTGAATTTCCCGAGACAAAAATGGTGGCCATTTTGAAAATAGGCGAGATTTTGAAGCAGGAGTCACAGGTTTTTTTCTTTATTGATGTTGAACAAAAATATTTTAAATCGGGAATCCTATTTACAGAGGATTTAAAAAGAGCCAAGTGTTGACAGACATAGGTTTTAAAACTTGGCACTATTTTGGACTGACTGAGAGACAGATGGACAAATCAAAGTTAACTAAAATGGCTGAAAATAAAAAAAAAATGATATAATATTTTGCCAATTTTTTGTAACAAAATTATTTCATACAACTACTCTTTACAGTAAAATGGCCTTTTACAATGCAGGACAGCTGAAATTATTTGTAAAGCTAGGAAATGGGCCAAAAGTGAATTTTGAGAGACAAGAATGGCCACCATTTTGGAAATAGGCGAGCTTTTGAACCAAGAGTCATAGGAGATTTTTTTGCATTGATGTTGAACAAAATTAACTTAAAACAGGAATCCTATCGACAGAGGGTTTAAGGCAAATGGTCCAAAAGTGGATTTTGCGAGACAGATGGACAAATCAATGTTAACTAAAATGGCTGAAAATAAAAAAATGGATATAATTTTTTGCTGATTTTTCGTAACAAAATTATTTCATACATCTACTCTTTACATTGACATGGATTTTTACAATGTAGGACACTTGAAATTATTTGTAAAGCTAGGAAATAGGTAAAAAGTGAATTTCGCAAGACAAAAATGGTGGCCATTTTGAAAATAGGCGAGCTTTTGAACCAGGAGTCATAGGGGAGTTTTCTGTATTGATTTGCACAGAAATAACTTAAAACAGGAATCCTATTGACAGGGGTTTTAAAACGTGCCACTGTTGATGACAGAAAAGTGGATTTCGCGAGTCAGATGGACAAATCAATGTTAACTAAAACGGCTGAAAATAAAAAAATGGATATAATTTTTTTTGTAACAAAATTATTTCATATATCTACTCTTAACATTGACATGGATTTTTACAATGTAGGACACCTGAAACTATTTGTAAAGCTAGGAAATGGGTCAAAAGTGAATTTCGCGAGACAAAAATGGCGGCCATTTTGAAAAAAGGCGAGTTTTTGAACCAGGAGTCATAGGGGACTTTTCTGTATTGATGTTGAACAGAAATAACTTAAAACAGGAATCCTATCGACAGAGGTTTTAAAACGTGCCACTATTGTTGACGAACAGACAGACAGACGGACGGACGGACGGACGGACGGACGGACGGACGGACAGACAGACGGACAAGTGAGCGATTGCAAAAGCTCACCATGTGAGCTAATAATAATAAAAATGCTAGAGAGAGGCTTTTACATGTAGGTGTTAAACCATACACATGTAACTGTAAAGTGATATAATCTACTAATGCACATCATTTTAAGCAACTTTTTAAACTTTTAGGACTGAATATTAACATGACAAATTGTCAACACAATAATATAATATGATATGGTATAATATAGATATAACCATTTTAAAACACAGATGCCAAAGTCACAAAAATGGTGGCTGTAACAATATGTCACTAATTTAAGGTGGTGACATAAAAACAAATTTTTAAAATGTCAATTTTAAAAGTTTGATTAATATAATCCAAACTACTTTACCTCCCATATTCCAATACTGGAAACCCTCTCGCCAAATGGACGTTGAAAGTTCATGCAAAGCTTAAAGGCATCGCTACGAATCTCAATGATGTTGTTGAGCAATGCACACAAAGCGGCCAATGGGAATGCAGACGAGAAGAGGACGACGTAACCAAACTGAATAAACATCTCCATAAAGTCTTCAAATGTATCTTCATACTGAAAAATTGAAGAAAGTTAAAATTGGAGATAGGAGAGCCAATGTCAAATAAAACCTCTATGACCAAACACCTCTAATGTGAACATATAAAGACTCGCATATCCAAAACCTTAAAATGTGAACACCTGCTAATCCAAACACTTTTGGTCATACGAGTAGTGTTTGAATTTGATGTGTTAGAAAATCTTAAAGCTCATCATACTTTTTTGAGATGAATATCTCCTCACTCGTAACTAAACTTCGTGTTACACGTGGCCATGAATACATACAGTAAAGTACAGATGCAACAAATATCTGTATTTTGATATAAAATTATTCTCAATAGGTATTACTTTAAAAAGAGGTAGATGAGGCTACAAATCGTAAGCAACAGTAAGTTAATAGTTCATTGTCTACACATTGTAAGTTTAAATGATTTTACTTTTGGTAAGTAACCCATTTCAGGTAAAAGAAGAGATTCAGATGCTCTTTATTGACTGAAATCGTTGTCATTTTGCTATAAAATTACAAAGATGGAAAAATAGTGAGATTGTTCTGCTTCACCTTTTTCATTGCACTTTCTACTTCGGCCTGCATAAGCTGTGGCCCACTTTGTTTAACATCAATCTCATCTTCACAATCACTATCCTTGTCTTTAGGGGGAGTGTGCTCAATAGATGTATCAGTTACACTGGAATTACTTTCACTACATTTATCCTCACTTGAGCTATTACTTCTACTGTTCTTCCTCCTGCAGCTGGTCATTTCTTTCATTTGTTTATCTAATGTGTCTGGAATCATCGTCGCTGTCATGTCATAGCCGATTTTGTAGATTTTTAATTTGTAGAATATGTACGAAACAAGAGCTTCGTTGATGTTGCCGATCACTTGACGTGTTATAAGAAGTGTCGCCAGTTGCTGAAAAAAATTGTATTAATCTAATGTTTATGTTTCTCAACACCATTGTCATATCTGGCTATCTATATATATATATATATTGTAAAGAAATGTTCGAAGTTCTTTGAAAAAATTAGAATGCGGTGTTTTATTTTCTAGCATTTCTTATAATCTAGTTTGCACATAAAAAAAACTGTACCTCCTTGAGACGGTCCATGTCTCTAAGATAGAACCCAATGTAGAATAGCGACAGGAAGGAATTGACAAACTGAAACTGAACAAAAAAAATCAATTAAACAAGGCATTTTCATGACAAAATGTAACAACCTACAAATGATTACAAAAGTGTAACAACTGTTACAGATGCTGATGAGAACAGATTGTGTTTAGAACCTTGAATTAATTCACATCTGTTACAATGTCAATATTTGTAGTGACAACGAATCTTTCAACCGAACAGTGATTCCATTTTAATGATGAGTGTTTTCCACAAGGACAAGAGATGCTCATACGTTAACTCGATTTTTGCTCTAGGATAAGACTTATGCTTTATATTTGTACCTACCAAAACTAGTTTGATAACAAGATGATTTTCATATGTCTCATCTAATCTGTAGTTCTCTGAAAGTTATAAATATATTATTAAAATCTCAATCAAAACTAAGATAAGCATTTTTCCAGTTTGTATTGGACATCCCATTTTTAAGTTATCTAAGGGTGGAGTTAAAAAAAAATAGTAATTCCAGTCGAATAAATAAGTGGTAAACTAAGCAGGAATGAAGTCTCTGAATTGTATAGAAATACTAATCGACAGACACTATCTAAATTTTAAAGAAAACTAGCAAACAATTTACTAAACAAACATACAGTATAGTCAATAAATTGATTGATAAAAATGAAAGTAAATCAGACAAGACTTTAGAGAGAAAAATATAATTCCAAATGGCCTGCAGAATAGAAAAACAATTTTACACAAAACATACCTAAATCATTCAACCAAGTGGCAATCCTCTTATAAATATCATCCTGGATTCCAATTGAAACAGCGAGTAAGATCTTTGGAATGAAACGAAGAAAAGCGGGGTATTCCCCTTGGGCAATTTTTCCATTCACCCATTCCTGGAGCTCAAATATGGCAAGCATCGAGAGGAACACGAGTCCAAGACATGTGCAGATGATTGGCGTGGTTATGAAATATCGGAATAAGTTACGTTTCCAGTTTGGGTAGTAAGGCTCTAGTCTTCCTGTTACGGGACTCCGTTGTAGATCACCCTGAAGTATAATAAAATATTATCTCATTTGGCTGTTTGCAATGAAGCTAAATATTGATAAGCACTTGATTTAAAAAAAACAAGGCACATTACGTGAATGAGATCACACCATCGAAAAACCTTCAAAATGGCTGCCAGAAAAAAGATTGCCACCCAAAAGTTAATCAGCTATAGAACTTGATATCCTGTAGTATCATGTGTGTGAATTTGGAGACAATCCGATGAGCGTTTTCTTGAGATGAAGATGTCAAGATTTATCGAAAAAGCTCAAAATGGAAATGGCCACTTGCTTTAATGCTGGGGATATCATCATACCAATGAGTCATAGAGAAACAAAAAGAAGAAGACAATTTGATCTAATCATACAGGGAAATATGCAGAGGAAATAGTACTTGGGAGAATTATTAGCATGTAGCCATTGGGGAAATCTTCTGTTATGTCGTATTAACCTTCTGTTAATTTTTATAATATGAAACGATAAATGAATCGAGATAATTGCAAACCATCATCGTAGTTTTTGATCTGGAAAGAACATCTGGATAACATAAGAATTTATATGTCTTTCAGAATCTTGTAAAAAGAGTTCATAATTTTAAGGTGTTCTGGTTCTCCAGGAAGAAAAGTGTTCTTTAAATGTTCATCTTTTAAAATGTTCTCACATAAAAGTGTTCATATTTGTGATATTTTTGGACTTTAATTGTTTAATATTTGTATGAGAACATTTTTTTGTCAGTGTTCACATATTATTACCAGGTGTTCATATTTGATAAGAAAACAAAAATATAGACTTTGATTAGAAAATAATCGATCTCATAATTACGTATAACCTCCCCCTCCCCTTTAACCTGAAGTTACTTCAACCTGAATAACTACACGTCCTGTACAATAAAAATAGACGTAGCCATATTTAACACAAGTATCAGCGGTATGAATAATATATCATTAATATATCTGCGCATACATATCCGACCAACATAAGCCTGTTTCATAATTCCAGCTTCTCTCGTCAGTCTGAATAAGTGCCTTATTTTCTGTCACATCTATACAATTTAGTGTGTCAACTACAAGCTATTTACTTTATTCCTTGCTAATTCCACTATTCTTCACATTATTTCACATTCTAAAACATGATCATCTTAAAATGTATGCAAGGGTCAACTCAATTAAGAGGCCATAATGATATTTTTACATCACAAGCCTCCCGGACTACTGGATGGAGCATATACGATATATTCAATGCTTGGTTATATTATTTTAGAAAACATTTAGCCTTAGACATTAAGAGAATTAGACATCAAATAATCTATAAAATCCATAAAACTAACAATAGATAATAAAACAACTGATTCCCTTCAAAGAAATTTCAAGCCATTTCAAGCTATATGTTTCAAGCCATTTCAAGCTATATATTACATCATTACATCTAATAAATGATATGACATTTCAAAATGATATGACATGCATTTCACAAATGATATATCATGCATTTCACAAATGATATATCATGCATTTCACAAATGATATGGCATGCATTTCAAAAGTAATATGACATGCTTTTTAAAAATGATATGAAATGCATTTCAAAAATGATATGACATGAATTTCAAAAATAATATGACATGCACTTCACAAATGATATGACATGCATTTCAAAAATGATATGACATGCATATCAATCTTAATTTTGTTCAACAATTGCAATGAAGGCTATAACAATAAGTCACTACTTGTTGGAGCTGATAATATAAAAATAATCTGAAAATGATCACAGAATAATATTGGCAAGTAACTCATATTATCCATCACATATTCACTTACGACAAATCATATATTCATCACCCATATTGAGTAAAATTGTTTTGAAGGGCAAATGATGGAAATACAATTTTTTCCAATTTGTGTAATTCAGGCCTGTCAACTGTCCCGCAATTTGCGTATTTGTCACGCATTTGCTGAAGAATTTGAAGTCACGCCAGTTATTTTTGCGTGACAGAAAATGTCACGCAAATACGCATTTTACCTGGTAATTGTCAAGCAAAAATATTTCTGTAGAAAAATTTCTAAAAAAGATCGTCTACACAGCAAAAATACGAACGCCGGAAAAAATGTACGCATTTCGTTCGGACTTTTCACGCGAATTACGTATATGTCACGCATTCCGTTCGAAACTTTTCGTACCTTCCCCCCCCCCCCTCCCCCCCGTTGACGGATGTTTTAAATGCGAGCGTAGCGAGTGCGAAAAATTTGAGGTGTTAAAAATTTGGCAAGATGTAATAAAATTTGAACCAAGGTGTTCAAAATTTGGATCAAGGTGTCCAGATTTGGACCAAGGTGTCCACATTTTGAGGGGAGGTGTTCAACATTTCCAAGTCACTCATGTTAGGTGTTCCCAAGTTGACAGGCCTGGTAATTTGAGATACTGTTGGAAATTATACAGCTTCAACGTAGCATTTTCTATTAAGATACAAAGCTCTACCAAGGAATAACATCTCATACCCTGATTATTTCTCTTATCTCCTCCATATCGTTGATCAATAATTCTCCACCTTTCTTCATTTTAACATTCTGAGCTATAAATGCTTCTACATACCTATCGCTTGCCCCTCCAGGAAGCGTATTTTGCCCAACTGCTCACCCTCCACCGCTCGGAGATTATTTAACATATGCTGGACAATATTCTGCCTCTTTTGACTAGTAAGGAATGTGGACGATTCTTCGATACCCTCAAAACATTCTTGGTCGTCGAATATGAATTCTTTGTTTCCGCCGCCATAATGAAGTTTCAGGGGTTTCTGGATTTCTAAGTCTTCCGCTGCTTTCAATAAACTGAAAATGGGGATTGTGGGTGAATTTGATTGTCAAGAATCTTTATATTTTCAATGACGTAAAAAGTATGTTTAATACGATTAGAGCCAATACTAATTTGATGAATCCAAACACTCATTTTCCATTGTTGCTATGGAGATGTATTAAAAATATCTGTCTTCATCTGATGAGTTACCATGGAATTTATAACCAACACTTACTGTTGCTATGGCAACATATAAAACATCTTACTTTTCATAGGTTGCAGTGAGTTAATATCCAAACACTCCTGTGTTGCTATGGTGACGAACATGTACTGAAAGCTCTGGGGTTCTGGTACGTAACCTTGACAACAGCCACAACAATGTCTGATCGCTGGTATTTGATGGGAATGTAACAAGAACATCACAGTCTCGTGTGGGGATCGTGTTCATCAATACTTTTGACGAGACCACAAAACGACTGGTGTTCGTGAACCTTTTATTAAATAGTCGACTTGCTGAAAAAAGATCACCCCAGCACTTTAGCAAGTGTACCCAGAACTGAAGATGTCAGATAGTTGAATTGCATCTTTTCTATAGTCATTAAAAATCAGCATTGTGTGATTTCAACAATTTTCATGACATTTGATGAATAAATTTGAATAGTCACAAAACAAAAATAATCAAGAAACGTTGTCTTAACATTTGTACAATTCCAGGTTTGGAGAAAATTTCGACCATCAAAAAGAAGAAGTGATGCTATCTTTAAATTCAGGTAGAGGATATTCCTACTCATGGACACTGGAACAGTAGAGATTATGACTTTGAAATATGGCAATGGTCAAACTTTCAACTTTCTGGTATGAGAATGGTCTTGAAAAAATATGTGACCTCACACTTGTGGTATGGCATTGGTCTAGTAGTAACACATAACTCTAATTTGAGGTTGTTTGAATCGTTTTTCTCAAAGATCTACCTTCTTCTCGGGCTTCTTCTGTTTGAATATCAGTTTTTTCCCCTTGTGGTATGGCATTGGTCCTATATTTGGACATTTGGAATGACATTGGTCTTATGTTTGGACATTTGGAATGGCATTGGTCCTATATTTGGACATTTGGAATGACATTGATCTTATGTTTGGACATTTGGTATGGCATTGGTCCTATATTTTGACATTTGGTATGGCTTTGGGTGTTATTTCGGTTGGTATGGGAACACATGAAATTTGACAGATTGGTATGGGAACATATCAATACCTGATGGTACAGCTTAGGACCCCCGCCAAATTTTAAATACAGTGAACCTCCCAGAGGACGTACAAGGCATTATTTCTTAATTTTGGGCCTATCTTTATGTAAAATGTTTGTCCCTTCCCTTTTGATTTTCAGGTTCGCCCTTCAACTTTTGAAGTCTCATGGGTCTTCTCGTAACTTTAATACAGGGTTTTCCCGCCAAGATAAATGGATCCTCGATTTCAAATGGTTTACTGTAGAACTTGTTGTATGTTTCTAAATTTGGTATGACATTTGGCCAACCTTTTGTATGGCTTAAGGTATTATATAAAGAATTGCAAATTATATCATACAAAATTTCAGGTATGGGAGATTGGGAGTAAGCTATCCCTCACTCTATATAGCCTACAGCCTGTATTTACATAGAGAATATTAGAAGGGTGGGGGGAGACTTACTCCCTTTGGTATGGGAACATACTTGAGTGACATTTGACAGATTGGTACGGGAACATACAATGATAATAGAGGTCATTGCTTTAGTGAACCCCAGGGACAGACTACTCTTCCCTCGCACTCTCTGTGAACCATGGGGAAAAGATTGGGCGATTGGGGGCTGGATTTTCATATCGGTTCAACTCTAATATTATTAATAAACATACCTGGACTACATGTAGATTGCTGACTGTTTTGACTTAAATAATAAAATATAGTCCTAAAATGCAATAGAGAGTCGGTCAGTAAGTGAATAGTAGATCTCTAACTAGAGTCCATTTCACTGCTTCATTTTGTCAGTACAACGGCAAAAATAAGAAATTGGGAGACCATTGTGCAATAATATATGGAAAAGTATATTCATAATGTACATGAAGGTTATATATATTTTGCAAGTGGATCCAAGAGACCAAGTGGGCTAGTCAATTATTTTGCAGGGGTGGCATGATACATACATTTCAATTTTGTATATAGTGAATTCCCAGCGATTGATTTCAGTACAGTAAAACTGTCATAATGAACACCTCTTTAGTGAAGATATGTGCCCAGTGAACACATGAGTCTACTCTATTGAACACCTGTGTGTAAACGAACACCAATTCCCAGCCAGTGATTTCAGTAAATTTTAGAGGGGATTGTACCTACAGGTAGGGTCAAAAAACGCCACTTTTTTCCACACACTATAACTTTTTCATTTTCCAACCTACATACACCAAATTTTGTGATTAAGTAATAAAATAATATAACAAGTCGCTCAACTTGGATTGTATTTGATCTAAAAGAGGAGTTCAATTAGTCTGCCAACCTCTTTGATAATATTTAGCAGTTATGTCCCTATCATTGAATATATGCCTAAGGTCAGACCTAAGGTCAGACCGAAGTGTTATATTACGACAGACCGAAGGCATATATTCAATGATACGGACATAACTGTTGTATTACATACTTTTATATCATGGCTACGTTATATCAATGACGCCACGTGTCTGTGTGCGAGTGAAAGTAGGAAGAAATGAAACATGACGTCCCGCTGACGTCATAAGATTGTCATGGTAAAAGGTTTGGCGGCTATACAGGAATATATAGCCGACCTTCAGCTCCATTGACTTCAATACAAATGCTTCGCTGGGTATGTAATACATATAGATATAGCAGTATCAATGAAATGTTGACTAAGTTTCTTTCAACCTGTCTTAATTGCCAGCTTTAGTTGAGTAATTTTTGAGATTGGGAACCTTTATACTATCATCTTGAGACATTCCCGTACCCTATACTCACTGGGCTTTACATCAAGACTATTAGCTCGGTGGTCATCAGGCCGTATCAGTTTAGGTACTCTATGCAAATTCTGTTCATTTCTCATGGCACATCACATGTTTAAGTGAGACGCTGGTGCCATATTTTATTCAAGTAAAAGTGTACAATTAATAATCCATGGCTAGATTGCATCTTCAAGTTTCATTTGGTATGCAAATCATGATTTTGGATCAAAAATTAAAAAAGTTATAGCATATTGAAAAAAGGTGTCGTTTTTTGGCCCACCCTGTACATTAAGAACTGTCTAATCCGAGGGACCAGCTAAAGGAGTTTGGATTAGGAGGTGTTCACATTTTGAGGTTTTGCATTTGCAAGATTTTGGATTTTGAAAAAATAGGAACAAATTCTCAATAAATATTTAATATATAGTTCTTTTGACTACATAGATTTATGGCATAACAGTGACATGAAAATCCGATTCAAATGAATTGAGTCATTCTAGAAAGCCCCACCATGAGTGAGATCATTCAAGTTTTTTCAAATATTTAAGCTATTTTGTATGGAACATGTGATATTTTATGAAAAGTGTTCAGATTAGATAGATTAATTTTCCAAACATTACTGTTCACTGGGAGGTGTTCGCATTTCAAGGTTTTTATAAAATTTGAGTCAATTGGAGGGAAAACGGGACCAAAAAATGTTCAAATTAGGAAGTGTTCGGATTAGCCAAGTGTTCAGATATACAGGTTTTACTGTACTACAATTGTTTCCAATCCTTTGGAGGAAAGTGTAAACATTCAAGAGAAATGACAAGTGACACACTGGCATGGGAACTGGTCATATCAGATGTTCCCACGCTTTACGTCCAGAAGAGGTCATTTCCCAGGATTATAGATGAACTCTTGGCCAATCAATGATATAGTTTACATAAGAGAAGTATGACTGTATGAATTCTGGGATATTCCTGTTTTGTTGAGACAGATGAGAATAAATGTAACCCTTTGCAAAATTGATCAAAACTGCCTCCAATCACATACCTGCCAACCTTACTGTATTTTTACGGGAATCTACCGTAAAATTTACCTTATTTCTGCTGAAAATAACAGTATTGTTCAAACTACCGTAAAATCTACCGTTATTATTTGGAAATTCTAAAAAATTGAAGTCTTCCCGCATTGCCCTTGTAATATTCCATTACCAACCCGAAAATAAATAGGGTCTCGGCAGGTCTGTGACAGTGGTTATTGCGTGCTTAGTAAGAAACTAAGTAAGCTGGCGTGTAATCAGTCAAGACACTGGGGAGTATCGTGATGCAAAAACACCGTGTTCAACTACCACATGTTCTAATGTAGTTATAAAAACACTGAAGTGTTCAAATTGTCTGTTTATGAAAGAGTTCCATGAATGCTGTGTTAGAAAAACATACTTTATTATTTATTCATTGAAGTGTGTCAAAATCTACGCAAAATCTGTTTTTTAATCGACCGCAAAAACTACCACATTTTTTCAAAATGTCCCGCAAAAACTACCGCATTTTTTCAAAATTCTTCTTCTTTCAAAATTGACCGTGAAATTAGTACCGCATTTTTCAAAATCTTTGGCAAAACTACCGTTTTTCAAAAATCTAACGCAAAAAACGACCATATTTTTCAAAATCTACTGGAAAACTACCGCATTTTACAAAATCTTCCGCAAAACTACAGTTTTTTAAAAAATCTACCGCAGAACTACCACATTTTTTCAAAATCTACCGTAAAACTACCTCATTTTTGTCGAAAAATACAGCAAA